GAGAGAGAGAGAGAGAGAGAGAGAGAGAGAGAGAGAGAGAGAGAGAGAGAGAGAGAGAGAGAGAGAGAGAGAGAGAGAGAGAGACATTGAGGCTATGGTGACTTCTGGGCTTTGCCCGTTACAGTGACATTGCAACTTCGACATTGTTGAGCAGCGACATTGGGGATATATTGGAGACTGGGCTCATCGGGCTATGCTGCCTGATCTTCCCCCTCTCCTCTTCTCCTTCACCTCTCCTCCCTTCCTTCATCTGTGGATGTTGTGCCAGATGATGATGTGTAACTGTTGCAGTCAGTCATGATTGTGTCAGTCCTCACTGTATTTCAGTCTTCCGCTGTGCAGCCTGTGCTCTCTTGCATGATCTCTGAGATTTTGTTTCCTTCAAGTTGGATTGGTTCACATTATCAGTATGTGACACAGGACAAGCATTGGCTGCCTCTGCCAGCAATCACCGTGGGTCTGGTCCTTGGCCTCTACAACACCCTGGGCTTAAAAAAAAAAAAAAAAAAAAAGAAAAGGAAGGCCTCCTTATCTATAGGTAGCGGTATGCTTGGACGCTGGTTGACCTGATGAGAAAAAAAAAGCGACCTCTGTGCAGCCCATCTCTGTTTGGCCTAGGCTCACCATTTACGTGCTTACCTGGTGGCGAACACCACGATCTTTCTTATTCCTTTCGCCACACCAGTCAATACGGTTCATAGTCGCGTCCAACTCCGCCCTTTTTTTTTGTTTGTTTTTTAAACCCTCGCATACATCTTCCCTTGCCTCTTCCGGTACATTCTTTGCACAGAATGTACCGGAAGAGGCACCGACTCCACTGGCTCAGGGGGGCACGCAACCCGTGCCGCTGGCCCGGCGGAAACATCCAGGAGGGACGCAGTGTTGGGCCGTCTGGGAGTGTTATGCGTTCCGTTCGAGACGGAACGCTGATGGAGAGCTGTATGACGGGAAACTGTCACGTACGGTCCGGAGTGCAGAGACTGTACGTGTCCATCCACTCCAGGGAGGGCTTTACCAGTGCAATTGCACTGAATGATGCCATCTTCCGCGCAGCGGTATGACTATGGATCATCTCCCCGTCGTTAGGACTTGTTCTCCAAACAACCTCGGTGTGTCTACGTAGCATCTCGTTAGTAGCCCCATCGATTTGACAGTGTTGATGGGGCTACTAACCAATGGCACTGACCAATGGCACTAACCAATGGCACTAACCAATGGCACTAACCAATGGCACTAACCAATGGCAATTCGATTACCTGTGTCAATGGGGCTACTAAGGGGGGTGCCATTGGTTAGTAGCATCTCGTTTAGTAAAAAAAAAGGGAAATTTTTCGAAATGCCCCTGAAGTTTGCGTTTATTTGCAGCGTGCCCCTCTGACGGCCGACTTACCTTGTTGCACCCCTCTGACGACGAATGATACTTCCAGAAAACCCCTGGTGTTGTTTGGGCCCAAAAAATGTTTCATATGCCCTTACCGGTACCAGCACCAAATTTTCAGTATGCCCCTACGGGATGGCTGTTGAGAACCAGCACAAAAGTTTCCCGTATGCCCTTATTGGTACCGTCCATCTTTCCAGCGTGCCCCTGTGGCCGTTGTTGACACTCGCAGTCTTTCCCTTGGCCCCGGGAGAGATGCTACCGGGGCATATCAGAAATTTGGCGATGAGCATGGACACACACACACACACACACACACACACACACACACACACACACACACAAACAACACACACATACACACACACGCCCCACACACACATACATACACACACGCACACACACAACACACACACGTGCGCACACACAACACACATATACACATACACGCACACACATGCGCGCACTCACACACACACACACACACACACACACACACACACACACACAACACACACACACACACACACACACAACACACACACACATATACAGGCCGTTTTTCCGTGGAGGCACGTGGAATGCCTACCACTTTGAATTCGAATCCTGCGGCCACTGCTGCAAGGGCATCACAGAAAGATGTGTGCCCCACGTGAGGGCATTTCAAGGACAGACCGACGAAACGCCACCAGCGGTCCAATAAGGGCATATCGGAAAGTTATGCCCCATGCTGACAGGGGCCTGCGTAAAATTTCAGAGGCCCGAGGGGCACCACAGGGTAAGTCGGCCTTCACAGGGGCACGCCGCAAATAAAGGCAAACTTCGGGGGCATTTTGAAAACTTTCCCAAAAAAAAAAAAAAAAAAAAAGTAAAAAAAAGTAGCATCTCGTTAGTAGCCCCATCGATTACCAGTGTCGATGGGACTACTAACAAATGGCACTAACCAATGGCACCCCCGTTAGGAGCCCCATAGACAGGTAATAGAATTGTCATTGGTTGTGCTTAAACCACTACCGCCTTTCAGAGGCAAAGGCTAAGGGGGAGATCCCACTAGCAAAGAGATTGGTTTGACAACCTGAATCTGGACGTATTTGTGGAGACCTGCAGATCATTGCCATTGCTTTGCTTTTCTGCATATAGACATAAAATGCACGAAGATTCAGGTGCTTAGTCCGATTGTCTTGGCTAGTGGGATATCGCCCTAATTCGTGAATATAACCTATAATTTTGATTCTTCGGAAATTGGACACACGCCACCGGAGAAAAATGGCAGGCGGCGCCAGTGAAAACAAAAGAAAAATGGTCGTGCTGGCGCTTTGGCGAAGCTTGGCACGCAAATTTGCATTTGTTTGCTCTTTTGTTTCTTGTTAATCATGTGTTTTGTCTATGGCAGTGCTAAATTGCTAATGCGCACTTCGTGTTGTACACTTTTTTTTTCCAGATTCGAAACACAAGGACAGTGAACCGGACAGGCCGGCCCACTGGTTATAGACTGCAACCGGGCAGTAATTGTCTTCCCCTGGCATTGCCGGGAGCCAAGTTTTTGCGGCGCGCAGCGTTCTTAAAGCATAATCTATGGGTTACTCAGTATCGTCACCATGAGCTATTTCCGGGAGGTGAGTTTTTTAAACTTTTTTTCTTAAAATATCTCCTTTTCTGTCTTCGGTTCATTTGTATGTCATGGTTACGCCGGACCCGGACACCGGAGCAATATCAGGATGTGCGACCGGACTGCTCCGGACCGTCCAGATTGAGACACCCCCCCCCCCCATTTTTTTTAATATTATAAATAAAGGCTAATTCTTTGAAGCCCAACCAATTCAATTACCAGTGTCGAATCCAAACAGGATGTCCTTTCAGGCCTTTTTTACTGTCATTATAGCTGCAGGACCTATTCATCTTTTTTTTTTTTTTTTTTTTTTTTTGAACAAACAACTCGAGCAGATGCTAGGGATGCTGGTAAGAGCAGACACCGCTAGCACTGCCGAGGAGGCTCCATCTATTGGTGGGGAGCAGCACCTGCTGGAAATCGGGTCCAGCGTCCCTGAACATTGATTTTGTGACTGACCATGTCATTGCATCATAGATCTGCTGGAAACTAAGGACCAGCATTCATAATCTCTGGTGGTGCTACCTCTTCACCCCTCTTTGGGGCGCCAGATCTTACTTTGAAACTAGTAGCTGTTTTCCTCCTGGTTATGGACGAAAATTGTGGACTTATTCCTTTAATCATTACCAAACCAACTCAAGGGAACCAAACAATTGGAAGGTAGAGGGAAGGGGTCAGGGAAGTCCGACAGCGGGTGAAGGGGAAAAGCAGGATCTATTTCAGTCCATTCATGGAAGATCAACCGATACTCCTTCTCAAGAACCTCTCTTTGATCGTCCTTGATTTCTCTCCTCCCCGCATTCCAACTAAGGCACCAGAAGGGAGAGGAATACCAGTCCTTGTGCAGCTACGGCTCTTACGAGCCTTCTTTCTTTTTCTTTTTTTCTTTTTTTACGAAATGCTCCAAATTGATTCTCTTCGTGGGGAGCAACACATACTGGGAACCGGGCCCAGCATCCCATTTCAAACCATATTTGAAAACATAAATGAGCTATGGGGGCCAATGGGCCATTACCCGGCTTATGCAGCTACGTGCCTTTTTTTTGTTTTTTTTTGGAACAAGCTCCATTTATTGGTGGGGAGCATCACCTGCTGGCCTTACCTTTCTTTTTTTTTTTTTTTTTTTTTTTTT